GGGGGGGTCAAGGGAGGGGAGGAGAGGGGAGGAAGGACCCCTACCAAGTTCCATTAATAATATTTTCTGAAGTTTATAATAAGCTCTCCTCATAGCCCAAGCAGGAAGACTACGAGTCCCTCGGTTACCTAGACTGTGGCCCTTTGGCCCAGCTCCCTCATTCTGCATGAGAATGACTGTGACTGCTGTGTCCTGTTGTAGAAAACAAAGCACTTAGATTGCCTTCCCCCGATCAATGATCTGGTTCCCTTTTGCTTGTTTGTTTTCTCCAGAAAAACAGCATCCAGTTCTCATCTTCAAAACCTAAAATCTTAAAAATGCAGAAATCAACCCCAGGGGGAACGCAGACGCACCGGGACGTTCTGCAGAGAGGCGCGTGTCCTGCACACCAGGCAAACTCGACTTGGTTCACTCGGGCGCCTGTTTTTCCTGACACGGCCACGCTGACTCCCGCCATTGCCTTGCCCTCGCACGCCGAGTGAAAGGCCTGGAGGAAACGTGGCCCTTTGAAGAGTAATCCACCTTCTCCAGAGGAAATAACTAGTTGACCAGCCTGGTCCTCAGCAACCAAATAGGGAGCCCAACCTCACCACATACAGCTGTTCAGAGCAGAAGTAAGTAAGTCGTGGACCTAAGTTATCCTTTCTATAGCCTGTGGGCATTGCTGATCCAATCGCTGCAGGGTTGTGTGTGTGTGGCTTTAGTGTATGTGTTTTTCTGCAGTTTTGGTTTTAGTCTAGTTTTGCAAAAACGAAAGGAGAAGTGCCCCCTAACCACCCCCAGGAAGAGTCCCCAGCCTCGGGGTTCCTGAGGTTTCCGCAGCTGACTTCAGCCGGCAAGCACAGAAGAGGGCGTTTCTGCCTCATGCAACTTGGGGTTTTTCCTTTTCTGGCACTTTTTAGCTCAGAGCAGGACCCCGTCCAGCTCTCCCTGGGGCCTCAGAGGCTCTGTCAGGGATCTGCCGTAGCAACAAGTGACTCTGTGTTTGTGTGTCTTCATTGGTTTCACACTTACTGAAAAGCGTGTCTGTGAATGCGGTGTGTNAAGCGTGTCTGTGAGTGCGGTGTGTGCGTCGAGGACGGAAGAGAAGGGGAGGGAGAGAGGCTGCTCGGTTCTGCGGCCTGGACTTCGCTCAGCCAGCGGCGTCTGCAGCCGGGCTGGCCTCTCCTGGTGCGGAGCCGGACATGAAGTCCCCCCGGAAAGGCCTTTGGGCGGCTCCTGTGCTCCTTCTCCTGCCCTTTTACACCTTGGCCTCTCCAGCCTACGAGGACCGGCCCCGTGCCAGGCCCTCCACAGGGCACACCTGCTTAGGTACGTAAACATTTTGCATGTTTATATGTGGATATAACAATGGGTCAAATAACTTTGCTTGCATAGACGATCGCCTATTGAATGACATCAATAGCTGTGAGATTCCAAGTAAGACACCAATAACCTCACCGACGTGGAAAACTCCGAGCCTCAGAGTGAGCATTCGCACTACACAGCAGGTGTGGGGAGAAGCGCTCTGTGCCGTTGCTAATTCCAATTAGCCGTAAAAGTCTGCCACCGCGTTGGCAGCTGGGAGCTCCCCTCCCCGAGACTGGCAACCGCAAGAGCCTGGCGTTCTTAGCCCCTTTTGCAAGGACAGAGGCAGCCTGGCCGGTAGAGAGAAGGTGGACTCTGGG